TTTAAAAAAACTATGAACAAATTCCTATGCATACTGCACATATCTTATTTTGAAGTAAAAAAACAAAACGGGAACAAATACAATATTTGTATTTGCATGTGGCCAGCGGGCCGTAGTTTGAGGACCCCTGCCCTAGAAGATGTATCCATAAACATATTGCTAGGAGAGCTGTCTGAGATTTTGCTGCCTATGGTTTCTTCTAGGATTTTTATGGTTTCATGACTTACATTTAAGTCTTCTATTCATTTTGAGTTTATTCTTGTATGTGGTATAAGTTGGTGGCCTAGTTTCATTTTCTTTTGCATGTATCTGTCCAATTTTCCCAACACCATTTATTGAAGAGACTCTCTTGACTCCATTGTATGCGCTAGCCTCCTTTGTCAAATATTAATTGAGCATAATGGCTTGGGTTGATTTCTGGGGTCTCCGTTCTGTTCCATTGATCTATATGCCTATTCTTGTGCCAGTACCAGGCTGTTTTGATTATGGTGGCTTTCTAATATAACTTGAAATTTGGTATTATAATTCCTCCAACTTTGTTTTTCTTTCTCAAAATTGTTGCAGCTATTCAGGGTCTTTTTGGAGTATTTGTTCTAGATCTGTGACATATGCCATTGGTATTTTAATAGGGATTGTATTGAGTCTATAGATTGCCTTGGGTAGTATGGACATTTTAATGATGTTGGCTTCTACCAACGCATGAACACGGTATATTCTTCCACTTGTTTATGTCTTCTTCTATCTCTTTTTAATGCCCTGTAGTTTTCTAAGTCAGGTCTTTTGTCTCCTTGGTTAAGTTTATTCCTAGGTATCTTAATTTTTTTTCTCATTTGAGAGTCTATTGTTACATTTTACTAGATGAAACACCACTATCTACTGCTCCTCCAACATCTCAATACAAAAGACAATAATCCAGGGTGACCAGTGACATTAAGACAAAAAATTACAAAAGCCGAGGCTTTAGAGACAAGGACTAGTCTCTGTGTAGAAAGTTGTAAAATTAAAGTTCGGCCTCACAAATAGTAACTTCTCCGGGTAGGGCGCCTCCCAGGACGTAGAGCAGCGCCTAGCACTCCCTCCTCCACCCGCCATAGACGCGGGGCTCAGCGAGAAGCCCACAGCGGTGAGGCCCCCCATCCAGCTGGTCGGGGCCCTGGCCTCCAGCCATCCGCGCTCAGGGCCCCCAGCGGGCCTGCCGGGACCCAGCTGCCTCTCCTGAGCCCCGTTCCCCGCTCTGGGAGGACCAGCCTGCTCCTCACAACCCTGAGACCCGGGGCCCCACCCCCCAAAGGCGACCCTGACCTTAGAACCGCCTGCCTGAGCTGCGGCTGCGCTCCTCCCCTCCGGGCCACACTGATTGTGGGTCGGTCCTGGGCCACAGCCTCAGCTCGCGGAGAGCCGCAGGCGTCAGCACCCGCATGGCAACAGCTTTCTGACCAGAGGTCCGACCTCAGCACACGCACCGAGGACCTGCACGGAGGTGACTCAGGAGCAGGCGTCCTCCCTTCCATCGGGGCCGGGCCTGCCGACCTGGAGCCGAGGGAGGCGCCAAGGGACTCAGGAGGGGCCCAGGGCGGCCTTAGGACCAGGGCCCGGGACGTGACGGGGCCAGTGCATTCCCGTGCCAGCTACCGGGAAGCTCTTCTTCCTTCTCAAGTGCCACGCGAGCCCTACCCTCCGGGAACCGCAGCGGAGTGACCCGCAGCGCCCGCACCCCGAGCTGGGAGTACAGTGTTGGGTAAAACTGCAGAGGCAGAGACCTGGGTAGGATCCGAATGGAGGGCGGCCTGAGGAGGGGCAGTGGCTGTAAGCGGCACTGGGGTGGCGGCGGCCTGCAGGACCCAGGTGGGTGCGGGGTCGGGGCTTCCTGAAGGTCAGTGTCTGCGGCGCACAGGCCGCCGTGCTGGACACGGGCTGTGCTAACAGGTCCCAGAAGTCCGCCCACGGGAAGCCCGGGCGCCACAGCAGTCACCTGCAAGGCAGCGGGTGTGTCTTTGCGGAGAGGGAGGGGAAGTGGGGGGTGGGGGAGGGAATGGCAGGGCAGGGTCGGGAGTAAAAATGAGCACCAGTCACCGAAGGGACATGCCCTGTCCATGCGACCCCGGGCGGCACTGGCTTGCCGTCTGCGCACTGGGCCGCCTACACACTCCCGGCTCTGGGTCCGTGGCAGGGAAGACCTGCAGGTCGCAGCGGTTCTCAACCTGTGGGTCGCGACCAATGAAAATACATCCTGCATATCAGATATTTACATTACGACTCATAACAGCAAAATTACAGTTATGAAGTCGCAACGAAAATAATTTTATGTTTGGGGGTCACCACAACATGAGGAACTGTATTAAAGGGTCACGGCATTAGGAAGGTTGAGAACCACTGTC